CAAGAGCATTTGGGCTGCTGCCATTTTTATAGGAAAGAAAACTATAATTCGAAGATTTAAGAAGATCCCGGCTGAAAATTTTTCATTCCAAATATTTTTTTTGTTTTATTACTCCGTAAACCAATTAAAAAATTCAGTTCAGTTGTATCTGTCGTATAGAACACACGTATGTGGGTAGTGATTACTCGTAGTGTTAAATCGAATCTTAAATCTTAGTCTTTGTTAATAATTTTTTTATATTGTATAGTAAATGATTAACATGTCCAGTAAACCGGGAACACCGTTAAAAAAATCAACATCGTCTAGTTCACTTCAAAAAGAGCTTTGTTTAGATGATATAATGAAAATGCTAAAATCAATGCAAACGTCCCAAGACACTAAATTCAAAACAATTCAAGAGAAATTTATAAGCTATGAAAATAAGCTAAGTATCTTGAATAATTCATTTGAAAGCATGATAACATCTTTTAATAACCTTGTATCTGAGAATAAAATACTCAACGATGAATTGAACAACTTACGTGACCGTGTATCATTATTAGAATCGTCAAAAACCACGACCAATATTGATATGTCCTCATCTGAAGTAATTAGGGAGGCTCAGTTGAGAATATCAAAAAGTAAAAATGTTGTGGTCTTTAATATGGAAGAAGCACCAAACGAGACTAATGATAGTTCAAAAATGTTAGCAAATGATTTAATATCTCATTTAAACCTAGATTTAAGCATAACATTAGCCAAACGTCTTGGCAATGCACAGTCTAAAAAACGGCCACTTCTTATTCAATTTGGGAATGAATCGGAAGCTTTTACAATGTTAAAAAACAAAATAAAACTTCAAAACACAAGTAAATGGAAAAATATATGGATTAATGCCGACCTAACTTTACTTCAACGTTCACAAATGAAAAGTTTGAGGGAAGAGTTATTCCAGCGACGTCTTAAAGGTGAATCTAATATCGTTATTAGATATGTGAAAGGTATTCCTTCGATCCAGCCAAAAAACTAAATTACTCCCCAACGGTTCAAAATATTAACCACACTTCTTCGTATTCTAAACAAAATTATAATTTAAATTTAAATCATCCACATAAAAAAACTAAAAATTGTATACATTGTAATAAAAAAATTGTAAATAATTATCGGTCTCTTTTGGGTTATTATCAAAATGTACGTGGTTTACGGACAAAACTTGCAGAATTAAAATGTAATATTCCACTATGCAAAGTCGACTTTTTTGTATTAACGGAAACGTGGCTAAATGATTCAATTTTAGATTCAGAGCTTAGCTTTGATAACTATATAGTCTATCGTGTTGACCGGAGTGATAAAACCAGTTCATGTTTGAGAGGTGGTGGAGTAGCAATCTGTGTGAATAAATGTTTATTTTCAGAAATCATAAAGATCCCCACTGATAATGTTGAACAGTTGTTTGTAACTGTAAATAGTGGTGGTAATTTAAAATATATTATTGGTGCATGCTATATACCACCTGGGAGCTCAGTTAGTGTCTACTCAGCTCATGCTGATACTGTGCAGTCTATTTTATCTAGTGTTGTTAAAACCAATTTTACTTTTATTTTAATGGGAGATTACAATTTAGGTGATACAAAATTCTATAATGATGACCATGGCATGATTTACGATGGCGCTCGATCAGTTAAAGTAGATGTTATTTATGAGTGCTTTTCATCTTTAAACTTGTATCAGGTCAACACAATTCCTAATATATACAATTCATATCTGGATTTAATATTTTCTAATACAAATTTGATCACTGTCAATACCTCAACAGATATATTGGTGCCATTAGACCCATACCATCCGGCTTTGTTAGTTGAGTTACAACGTAGTAACAATTATCAGCATTCATGCCCCTTGAATTGGTATTATAATTTTAAACGTGGTAATTATTGTCAAATGTCTTATTATTTAAGTTCAATTGACTGGTCGATTTTATATAACTATGATGACATTAATAGTGCGCTTGATAAATTTTATGAGATACTCTTACATTCTATCGAGTTATTCGTTCCTAAAGTTTATCCAAAGAAGTTTCCTTTCCCAAGTTGGTTTTCAAAGGAACTTTGTCAATTAATACGTAAAAAAAATGCCCTTCACAAGATTTTCAAAATTAAAAAAGACCAATCAATATATAATGAGTTCTCAGCTATTAGATCTAAATGTAAAAACCTATCAAAAAAATGTTATTCAGATTATATTAACCGTATTCAAAATAATTTAATTGTTAACCCAAAATACTTTTGGAAATTTGTCAAAGATAAAAGAAATAATAACTTACTTCCAAACTCTATGTATTTTGGAAATATAAAGTCAGACAATATGATCAATGTGTCTGAAATGTTTAGTGAGTTCTTTGCTTCTAATTATTCTGTTTCGAAACAAACCGTCCGATCAACGTATCCAAATATTATTTTACCCTCCTCGTTTAGTATAGCCTCATGTGAGATCCCGGTTCTAAAATTGTTTGAAGAACTGCAACGAAATACGGGCACTACTTACGGTCCTGACCTTGTCCCTGGTATCATTTTTAGTTCTTGTCGTTATCCGCTTACTCGTCCAATCCATTTTTTGTTTTCCTTGTCATTGTCTTCGGGTGTTTTTCCAGTACGATGGAAATCAAGTTATATTACACCTATTTTTAAATCAGGTGACAAATCTGATGTGGGTAATTATAGACCTATTTCTAAATTAAGTGTGTTGCCGAAAATATTTGAGAAACTTCTAGAGCCCGAGTTATCATTAAGTTTTAAAAACGTGCTGAATAACTGCCAGCACGGCTTTCGTAGTTCTAAATCAACTATTACTAACCTGCTTGTGTTTTATACTAATATTGTTTCCACTGTTGCAAATGGTGGTCGAGTAGATGCAATTTATACTGATATGAAAAAAGCGTTTGATACATTAAATCACAAGGTATTAATTGATAAATTAAAACATATTGGCATTAAAGACCCACTACTTAAATGGTTAGCTTCATACCTCACAGGCAGACAGCAGCAAGTAAAGATAAATAATATTATCTCTTCCATTATCCATATCCCCTCTGGGGTTCCTCAAGGAGGGCATTTATCTCCATTACTTTTCTTAATTTTCATGAACGATCTTTCTGATGTCTTTCAACATTCAAGCTATTTGTGTTTTGCCGATGATGTAAAAATTTATTCTAACATTCGTACAATTCATGACAGTCATAATCTCCAAGCAGACTTGTGCAGATTTTATAATTGGTGTGTTGTTAATGGTTTATGCTTGAATGTGTCTAAATGTGCTCAGATCACTTTTTGTCGTAAGCGTTCATATGAACTATATGCATATAATATAAATAGTATTAATATCATAAATGTTCCTCATATCAAAGACTTAGGTGTAATTCTTTCTTCGGATTTATCTTTTACTGAACACATTTCATTTATTTATAATAAAGCACTACGGATGTTGGGCTTTCTTAAGCGAAATTGCTGGGAGTTTTCTAATCCTATTTGTTTAAAAGTTTTATATTGTTCTTTAGTGCGTTCTATAGTCGAATATGGGTCAATTATTTGGTCACCATATCAAGCTAATCTTACTAATAAACTGGAAAAATTGCAAAAACGTTTTCTACGTATGTTAGTAGTAAAAGTAGGAAAATACGATATTAATGAAGTTGATTTAAATGTAGTAGCTTCAGATATTGGTCTAACCAGTCTGAGTATGAGGCGGAAAATGTTTGACGTTAGTTGGATCCATAGTTTATTAAATAATAAAATTGACTGTCCAGAAATTCTTGATATTATTCCTTTTAATGTTCCTTCAGTCCATTTACGGTCTCAAACGATGTTTTATGTTTCTTCTGTCCAACAGAACTATAATCTTTTTGCTCCGGTCAATCGTATGTTATTAGAATGTAATGAAGTTTGTCATAAAGTGGACTTCTTTTTTAATTCTTTAGATATAATAAAAAGATCGATTATATAGTTAAGAATCTTTACTTATATTGTTTGTTTTTATAATTAATTGTATGCTATAAATTTATTGATGTCTAGTTTAAGTTTTATTAACTGTACTCTTGCCCTTTGGGGCGTTAATTTAGTAAATAAAATAAAATAAATAAAAAATAATTCGAAGATTTAAGAAGATCCCGGCTGAAAATTTTTCATTCCAAATATTTTTTTTGTTTTATTACTCCGTAAACCAATTAAAAAATTGTATAATACTTTCAAAATTTCTAAGGAGACAGGTGGTAACTCATCTTAATTAGGAATTATACACATAATACATTTTTTTAGTATAAATTTAATTATGCTAATGTATATTAGCTTACCCCATTAAAAAACTTACTTTGACCCAGGTGTTGTGCAAGATGTCGAATTTGACCATTCTTTCTAACAAATTAAAATTTTAAACATGATTAAATTTGATTAATGAGCTTTTTATCAATTGATTTCAATATATCAAGAAATATTTTTTCCAAATTTTAAGTTCTTATGGTGAATAGTTTCTTAAATAGATTTAATAAAAGCTTAAGGGTATCACTTGCCCATTTTCCCCTAAGTAATATAACACAAGACCAAGGTTAAAGTACAGACAAACTAAGTTTAAAGTATTGTGAATTACCCCAAAAATTTATTTTTAGTTTTAAGAAAAGTCTAGTATAACGGAGATACAAATAATAGATATTGTATAAAAAAAAAATGTGTTAGTGATGAAGAGAAAACAGTTATGAATTCATTTAAATCATTTCATGTGATGTAATGATTCGATGAATTATTTGATTTTGCTTGTAATATTAACGGATTTATCACGTTTTCAGTTATGAGTTAACGTTTCGGATTCGTTGCAGAATCCATCTTCAGAACGATAGTTACAGACTCGTGGATATAATTATACTGTCGCCTTACGGTTTCTTTTTATATCAGTTGATAACTGATAACATTTGACACGGCACCGCCTTTTGCTCTAGGCTGGCGCTCGCCCGTGTCTCTCTCGATATCAACCGTCCAGCTATTAATATGACAATCGGTTGTCTCCCCGCCCTTGACACAGAGATAAGGCCGCCGCCGAATATGGATTACGGATATTGCGTTATGTTCCGTTTCCGACGTACACCTTAACTGGTTGCTTGACTCAGTGTCTATCATTTTTCTGCCTTTTTGGTTTTGTTATATTTTTACGTTTCGTCATCTGTATCACTACGATTTTTTTTCTCCTGCGCCTTATACAGACGTGGATGGCCTACAATTGTGCTGTGTGCCATAAGTATTAGTGTTGTTCGAAAAATCGTTAGAGCGAATTTACTATTTACATATATATATATATATGTACATTGGTGGTTATTTGTTGAGTGTTTTTTTTTTTTGTACACGCACAACCGTTTACTGGACTACGTATTACATTGATGTTGTTTATCTGTTGTTGTTTTTGTCTTGTCGTTGATAATAACTTGTGTTTACGACTGTATGAACGCAGCACCCGGTGGTATTCACGTGGGTTCGTTAACATTCGTGCTTTTATTTTGTCCTAAGTCTTTAGCTATTCCGATGATAAGGAATGTGGTGAGTGGACTGTATGTTTTAATGTAGAATTAATTTTACAATATATAATCATAACAAATAAATGTATTATACAAGAAATATAAAATCTTATATACACCAATGTGGATAGGGGGACACTTAATACTAATGCCACAAAGGTGCTGATATAAACTAATAATAAATTATAAAAGTGAGTAAGTCTTAGAAAGATAGATGAACAATCGTTTTACTTCTGGTACAAGGCATGGTCAGAATATACATATATTTGTTTTGTCTAAATATTAATTAATTAATATATTTTTATTGTTTTTTATAATATTATTCTAATTATAGAGTACTGACCATAGATAAAAGATAATTCGTTGTAGTTATCATATTGGATGACATATAATAGGGAAATAAATTATAGTCCACTAAATGTTATTTTTTTTTTATTTTATTCTTTTTTTGTATTTTATTCAAAGGAACCTTTGAGAATTGGTCGTCCGAGCATTTAAACAAATTTTAATCAATTTTTTCGGACAAATGAGTTTCTATTTAAGGAAAAACATTCAATTAAACTTATTAACATTTCAGAAAATCTTTATTATTTTTTATAATTATCATTATTTATGTTTTTAAGACGTTCGAAGAAAAATACATTATTTTAAATTACAATGGAAAAGATAACATTTTCGAATACAACGGTAAGTAGAAAGCATGTTAATAAATCCTTATGTCATCTGTTGAAACATATTAATGACTCATCTTGTAATATATATATATATATCACAAAACTAACAACTATTTTTATTTACAGAAGAAGAAATGAATCTAAAACTGGAGTCATTTATGGAGAAAATAAACAACCAAATTCAATTCAAAATAATTAAAATTCAAGTGAGTTTATAAATATGTCTATATTTGCAGCTTTAAATGTTTTAATATGTACTCTATAAAATATGTTATTAATATAGGAAGGTAATTAAGTACGATTTTATAAAAAAATTTAATTTATTTTTAACAGACCAGTAAACTAGATAATAATACATCTTTAATAAATGATACAGTCTATGATGAACAAACCAGAAAGCAACTAAGAGAAGTGGAAAATTTGTCATTATGGAATTATGTTAAAGAGGAACTTTTTCAATCGTATCTTACTACAGTACCCAATACAAAAATTAACTATTTCATTCTTAATTCAACAATGTATAAGATAGATATTAAATTCACTCTTATAAATGCAATCGAAATCATGTGCAATCGAACTTTTAAGTATGCGATTTTGCTAATGGTATATGCCTATGAGGCACAAAGAATTAATTATTGTACAACACCATATTGGGACCAATTAATGAATAAATTAAATAAATTGAGTGATGCACTGATAAATTTGAATGGCAACAGAAAATTACTATATGGATGGTATGATGTTAACCGTGGAATTAATAAAAGTGATACAATGCGTGCTTTTCAAAGATTAGTAAATGATTATGCAAATATTTTTGTAACACCCCAAGAAATGAAAAAATATAATTCTAAAGAAATATATACATGTGAAAATATTGAAGATCAAGTCATTCTATCGCAACATTTATTAGATAAAATATTAAAAGGATTTCCAAAACATCACCCAAACGACGAGTCATACCAATTTGAACTTATACCACCAGATCTATGTGAAATAGAAGAAAAATTACAGCAAATTTTTAAGTTAATTGATGCAGAATTTGAAAATATTTACAAAATAGATTTGTAATATTGAATAACTTTTAGTATAGTAGATATTTATTTTTCAAAAATATTTATGGTGATTTAATCACACTTGTAATAAATAATTTATTCAACCATTTTAAAATTAATAAAAAACAAAAATAATAATTTTTTAAATATGAAATAATTTATACATATGATACTCGTAAGATATATTGTCGATATTTGTCATTATAAAATGTATTTTTGCTAAGGATCGTGTGATTTCTTATTTTAAAATAAAAACTATAACATATTATTCATTTTAATAAAAATTGTAATAATAATCAGCTTAATGATTATAAAAAAGAAGATAATAATAGTAAATCCAGCATAAGGGGGTCGCGGTTCACTAGTAACGTGACATAGTTAAATGAAGTATAATAGTATCTGACAGTGATTAAAGTCACTATAAAAAAAAAACGCTTCGATGCAAATCTTTCAATAGTGTTTAATTTTAAAAAATTGGTGGATTATTCCAAAAGCTACATGATCTATTATTTCCTTATTAATATCCTAATTAAGATAAAGTATGTCGAATGAAAAAGGGATTACTTAAAAATATTACTTCTCATAAAAAAATTGTATTGATCGATACATTTTTTAAAAAGTTGTAGCATTTTAAAGTAAAAAATGTAAAATATAAAATTGAGAATTTTCACACAAAAATAGCATTTCGTAACCATTTTCCCCACGATGACAAGTCTAGGGGTGAAATTTTTTTTTTCCATAAGAAAGTATATTTCATTGCCTTTAATTTAAGATATATATAAAAGTTTCAGTAATTCCGGAACACTTTCAAAAATTAAGTTGAAAAAGTTCTACTTTCTATATGCATATTTATGTTTTGAACCCCCCTTGTATTAAGGGAAATGGTCCGATTTAAAAAAAAAAGTATTTTGAATAAAATAAATATCTAAATATTATTTCTTATGAAAAAATTGTATTGATCCAATCATTTTTCAAAAAGTTATAACATTTTAAAGTTAAAAATGTAAAATATTAAATCGAGAATTTTATCACAAAAATAGCATTCGGTAGCCATTTTCACCGTGAAGACAAAATAAAGTACGAAATTTTTTTTTTTTTATAATTAAGTATATTACATTAGCTTTAATTTAAGGTATATATAAAAGTGTCAGTATTTCTGGAACACTTTCAAAAGTTAAGTTGAAAAGTTGTAATTTTGAATCCCCCCTTGTGGGTTGGTAAAGGGTTAAATTAAAAAAAAAATATACCAAATGATAGATAAAGACATCAAGCATCTATATAAAAAAAAATTATATTGATATGTTCATGTTTGAAAAATGTATGGTAGTTTTAAGTAAAAAAAATTTCGAAAATTAGCGATTTTTAAATTTGTAATTTTTTTGGAGGTTTCCCCCATTTACGGGGAATGAAGGAAATTTTTTCAATTTTTGAGGTTATTGCTATTTTTGTGTGAAAATTCTTGATTTTATTTTTTATATTTTTAACTTAATAATGCTATAATTTATTGAAAAGTGTATGGATCAACACCAATTTTTATGAGAAATAATATTTTATTTAATAACCCCCTTTTCATTCGACATACTTTATCTTAATCAGGATATTAATAAGGAACTAGCAGATCATGTAGCTTTTGGAATAATACACTAATTTTTAAAATTAAACACTATCTAAAGATTTGCATCGAAGCGTTTTATTTTGATAGTGATTTTAATCACTGTCAGATATCATTATACTTGATCCAACTAAGCCACGTCACTACTGTGCCGCGACCCCCCTGTGCTGGGTTTTTTTTATTGACTTAAAAAAAGCAAAAAAATTTAAATAAGTTTAAGTTCTTATGATATATCAATTTTATTTATATAATATTTATGAAAATCTATGTACTTCCCTTGTCAGGTATTTTAAAATAATATCAAATACGAAACCCAGAATTTTAACTCAAAAGTATCAAATTTTTGAATACAGTAGTTATTTTTACCATGAAGACAAATCCAAATGTTTAATGTTTTTACCCCCTATTTATAAAGGGATGTGATCCGATTTACAAAAAAAGTGTGTCAGATGAAAGCGATATATAAAAATTATTTATGAAAAAATAATAATATAAAATATAAAATCAACAATGTTTTCACGGAAATCGTACGTTTTTCTTTAACTTTGATGTCCGTTTTCACCACGAAGACAAGTTCAGAGGTCAATTTTTTTTTTCAAATTAAAGTATATTACATAAGCTTTAATTTAAGGTATATATAAAGGTGTCAGTCTTTCCGGAACATTTTCAAAAATTATGTTGAAAAAGTTCTACTTTCTGTACGCATTTATACATATTTTACAAGCCCCCACTTTATAAAGGGAAATGGTCCGATTTAAAAAAAAGGTATAACGAATGAAATAAGTATATATAAAGTATTTATCATTAAAGAATAGAATTGATTCATGCATTTTTTAAAAATTTATAGTAACATAATATTAAAAAATGTAAAATATAATATCAAGAATTTTTTCACAAAAATAGCATATATTTACATATGGTAGTCATTTTCACCACGAAGGCAAGTCTAGGAGTCAAATTTTTTTTTTCAAATTAAAGTATATTACATAAACTTTAATTAAAGTTATATATAAAAGTGCCAGTCTTTCCTGAACATTTTCAAAATTTAAGTTGAAAAATTTAATTTTTTGTAAAAAAGTTTTCAAAACCATTCCTATGGGCTTGTAAGGGTCAAATGTTCACAAAAATATATAAAATGATAGATAAATACCTAAGGTATCTTTTAAAAAAAATTATATTGATTCGGTCATTAAATTTGTAAATTTTTGTGGGATTTCCCCCGTTTTCGGGGAACATGGGAATTTTTTTTCATATTTTGAGGGTAATGTCTTCGACTAGATACGATTTCTGATTTTTTGACATATTTTTCATCAAAATTGGTCCAGCGAGATCTGAAATTGAGCGTATACAGACACAAAAAATAAATATTTCATAATAAAATTAATACCTTCTCAGCTTTGCATCGAAGTAAAAATGTAAAAGTAAATAGCAATTTTTACCACACGTCATATACAAATAAAATAATATCATTTATATAATAAAAATTGATCACTTGTGGCTAATTAATTAAGTAAAATTAAAACTATATTAAAAATATTATTAATTTAAAAAACTAAAAAATATTAAACTCAAAGCCACAAAATTAATGAAAAGTCGCGGATACGTATTTCGGAAACAATGTTACCATTATCAATGCTAAACACATACTGACTCACATACTGAGTCAGTATTTTATATTTACTTAATATCATTTATTTATTATTGTCATAGATAATGTGAATAATATTGTATTATTATTCTAAAATAATTTTCGATTATTTTTAATAATTTATTTATTTACGTTGTTTAATAGTTTATTTACTTTTGACACCAATAAAAACGCAAAAATCTAAAAGAAATTTAATAAACTATATTTTAAGTTAATATTCGGTCAATTATATTATATAAATCTAATTATTCTTGTATAATGTCTTACAAAACATATTCTTTTTTATTAACTTTTATGAGTGGATATTTTTTTGGAGATGTTTTTGGAAATACAGTTATAATTACCCCGGTAATTTAAATAGTTTATTAAATGATATTTAAATTAATATTTAAGTATAGATAATTTTTATTTAATTTTAATGTGCCATTTTTTAGTATAACACATCACACTTAACACATTTTTAGAACTAATAAAATTATTATATAATTTTATTTTTTACTTGCATATTAAATTATAATTTTTTTGGATTTTTTAACTCTGATTATAAATGTCAAATTTACAAGTATGGTTTTATGCATATAGGGAAATGTAAAAATAGATTTTATTGAAGGAAACTGTGGCGTAAGTTTAATCATTATTAAATTAAACATCATATAAATACATTTTATAAATCAAATATTTTTAAATTAATGTCAATAATATTAACATTTAATATTATAGCATACAACTGCTGTTTGGAAAAGTGACAGAAATTTTTTAAAACCTTTAGAAGTAAGTTTTTATTGTGTATTGTTACCACCTAGACACTGTTATTATTTTTCAATATTTAATAAAAACATTCTACCTTACAATTTTTTATTTTAGGAATATTTAGAGTGTGGTCCTTTAATATTGGTGAGAATTATTTTAAGCAGACATATACCAGTTTTAATAATAGAGTAATACGGGGAACTAATGCACGCCTCAATATGTCGTACACTAGTTTTTAGACTTAAGAATAATCGTTTCTCCAGTACAGAATGTATAGGAAATTTAAAATTATTTTCATTGTTTACTACCAAAAAAAGAAAGTGGGAATGAGTGACATTTAATTTCTATTTTTCCAAAATTCTCAAATTAAATATATTTAAGCTTATAGTTATGATTTTAAGATAGATATACATAATGATTTTTTTATCACAACCCACTCATTTATTCAGAGAATATTAGCTACTTAATACTTTTTATGTTCAGCCGTTATGCCTTGTAAAGGTGTCATCTTTGTTTTTTCAAATGGGAACACATATTTCGAATTTAATAAAATGTTTAAGGGCTTTATTATTATTAATAGTAAGTGGCACTTGATTACACATCGGTCTAATATGTTATCGAGAAATTATGTTGTGATTATTCTTGTTATCATTGTGCTACATCGAGTTGTTGTCGGTCTCCTCTCTATGTCTGCATTATGGTCGCCATCTTTACGATTCTTAAGCTATAACCTCTGTAAGGTTTCAGCCATACAGAGGGCCTACTAATTACCCACTGCCCAGGGGGAACACTGGACAGTGACCTAGTAGCCGCGCCAAACAAGATAGTACTTGTCGACGGAGCTACTAGGTTTTGATAAAAACAAATAAAAAACAAATATTAATAAAAATGAAGGAAAAATATAGGGAGAAAAATAAAAGAGGCCATGAATAATATAATAACATTTTTTTTTAATTATTATTTTAAATATATATATTTTCATAAAGGGAAGAATAATAAAAAAAAAAAGGAAGCAAAAAGGAGGTGCAATATTAACAAGATTAATAATGGGTAGAACAGGGGGGTTTCACGTTATACTTGTTGTTGATTGTTGATTTGAGGAGTGACGGCCCACCACCGGCCATAGTTGTGCCTTACGCCATAATCATCATCATCATCACCATCTCGACGTTTTGTTTAAAATAAAAAAAACGGAGGACAAAAAAAATACAATCTGGTTGACACCACAATAGACGGCAGGTCGACTCGACGTTTATTTTATAAAAAAAAACGGAGGACAAAAAAAATGCAAAAACGTGGTTTTTTTCAGAAACACAGCGGACAACTTGTCGCCTCGGCAGTATAGGTGGAAAAAAAAAAAATGTTGTTGCGGCATTTGTGTAGTGGCCGGTGATCGTGACGCCGGGTGGTGGTGGTGCCAACTTTGAACACGTTCATTGAGGGGACATTACAAAGGTGTAGGGATGCACTGTGTGCGGTCAACTGTCACAACAAACCGGGTACTGACCATTGGATCGGTTGATTGGTATATAAACTTATTTAATAATTGGGGACATACATAATACCTAATGCACACACTATTAACTGATAAGATTAATATAAAAAAAAACTTGTATAAATTCTGCAACATTACAGAACCCCCCAAATAGATTAAACTATTGAAAATGGGGTGATCTATTTCAAAGGAATGGTGAAAGAATTTGTACATAACTTTTGGGAAAAAGAGTATAGGAATCTTTTGTTAAGACGTGAAGAAAAACAAGCATGTTATAATATATAAGTTCAATTAGAGAAAATTAATAAAACATTTTATAAAAAAAAACAATGGGGAAATGGTGTCTTGAGGGTCTCAAATCCGCGAAACGCATGGGTTATGGTTAGTTGGCATGTCACCGCCCAGACGATGTTTCGGCAAAGTAGCGTACTCCAACCCCTGGGACGTTACCATGCCACCATAACCACACACGGGGAAATGAGTCTCAAGACGGGGGAAAATTGTTAATAGTTTAACAAAATAACATGTGCATAAACACATTAAACAATATTTTTTAACAAAAGAAAAAGAAAAATCAACATCATATACATTATAACATTATGAAGACTCATTTGGAATTTTAGAAAGAGACGGAATATACTTTTTTAAATGGACTATGTTATGGGTTCCTTTAGGGACATTTTCAAATGGATCAATAAGAGAATAAGCATTATAGGACTTAATAGAGGAAATT